CCCCCCCCCTCGGAAAGCCCCGAGGCCCTGCTCTTCACCACACTTCCGGTTTGTGTGACCAGGGCCCTGGCCCCTGACAAGGCCAAATCAGGAGGCACCCGGATTCTTTCCCTTTTTGAGGTCTGGCCCCCTGCCAGGCCTGCTGTTTCTGATTAGCTCTGTGGTCTCTGGGCAGGCAGCTGAGCTAACTTAACGTAAACAGTGCCGCCCTCCCATGGGGAGTCTGTACCCCAGGTCCTCCCGCCAGGGCTGGGATTAGTGATGGAACCTTCCAGAGCAGCCCGGGCTAGGGCCAGGTCTGAGTGCTGAGGCGCCCTGAGCCTGCTTGGAGAAGGGCAGCTTTGTCTCCTGGCCTGGGGGCAGGTGCACAGGGAAGGCTCAGACTCCTGCATTCCCACCTGCCCTCCGAGCCTTCTCTGCGGCCACTGACACCCAGTCATCTAGGCAAAGGCCGGCCAGCCAGCCCCGTTCAAGACCCCACTGCCTCCGAGGGAGTTCGGGAAGGTGCTGGGATTAGGGATCCCTTTCTGGGGTGCTTCTGTCCTCTACTTCGGAGCAGAGGAGGAGCGGCGTGGTTTAAGAGCTGGGAGCCTGGCCCCAATTACCTGTGGACACAGCCTTGGGCTCACCCGCACAGCTCTCCTGCCTCGGCCTCGGGTTTCTGTAGATCCTGGGGCTGCCCAGAGGCCTGGCTGTGCTTCAGCCGTGCCCACAGGACATCATGCCCACCCAGCAGCCTGCCGGCGGGCTATCATGTCCACTGAGTGTCGCTCTTGGCCGCGTGTCCCAGCTGCTGGGCTCCCTGCCTGCCCGTTGTCACGACTGCTGAGCGGCACACCCACCTGCTCGCAGGCCCTCCTCCAGTGTCGTCCCTGCCTGCCTATAGCCCCCAGCTAGCGTGGCTGCTGGGAATCGTGCTTGCCTGGTGCCATGCCACCCAGCTGTCGGGCCCTTCTGGGCACCACTGACCCAAGCTGGGCAGCAAGAACCCGGTCTCCCTCACTCACACCGGCTGTTGGCCCTGACCCCAGCCCGCCCCGTCCTGTCTGTTCCCTACCCTCCTCAGCGGATGATGGGGGCTTTGAGAGTGGTGCGTACAACAACAGCGCCATCGCCACTCCGCACCTGGACGCCTTGGCCCGCCGCAGCCTGGTCTTCCGCAATGCCTTCAGCTCCGTCAGCAGCTGCTCACCCAGCCGCGCCAGCCTCCTCACTGGCCTGCCCCAGGTGAGGTCCGCAAAGGGCCGTGGGACGGGGGAGGAGGGGAGAGGCCTGGGGAGGAGAGGAGACCAAGTCCAGGCCCAGGTCTGCTGCAGGGCCACCCTCCCCAGGCCCTTGGGGTGCTGTCCCCCTTCCTGCCCATGCCCAGGTAGGCGAGCCAAGCGGTTACAAGCAGGGACGAGGGGCTCCGACTCGCCGACTCCCCTGCTCCGCGTGACCACAGCCAGTAGCTCACTGCCCTGCGCCTTGCTGTGTGTGTGAAGCGCCGAGCACATGCCTGCACCTGCACTCTGCAGCCCCAAGTCCCGGGATCCCAAGGGTGCTAAGAGCTGCCAGTGTCCAGGCACTTGCTCTTTTTTTACTATTTATTTATGGTAAAATATACATAAAATTCGCCATTTCCGCCAGCTGTCAGTGTCCAGTTTGGTGGTTTAAGCAGGTTCCATTGTGCAGCTGTCACCAGCATCTCTAGAACCTTTTTTTTGTGGGGGGAGAGATTTTCGCTGTAGGGCGCGTGCACTCGCCAGACAGAGACATAGAGACAGAAAGCGAGAAATCACCCTCCAGGGGGGATGGTCACGCTGCAATCCCTTCTCCTCCATTCTCCTCTCGG